CGATTTGCTAACGATTGGCAAGGTCAATTTGGTTCTACAAATGAAAATTAGGAAAGTCCGATGGTAACTTTTGCATATTATTTTCATTAATTAGTAAAAAATCAAAGAAAGGCCTACAAACATTTTAATCACTATTACAATGTCATACAAATGGTCCTCACAATTCCTCTCTGCTGATCGAAAACACCACTAGGTGTGAGTACCAGTGTCTGCGCATGCGTCGATGCAAACACTCTAGACCTTTTTTTAAATTAATTAAAATCTAATGAATAATTACGTATAAAAGAATGAAACCAAGGTATTTATTATCTACAAACGATTCGCTCCCCATTGGTTAATATTATTTCGGTCTACAAATAAAAATTAGTGGGGTGGGGTTCTAACTTCCGATCATTATTTTGTTTAATTAATTAAAAAATAATGAAGGGTCTACAAAATTTTTTAATTGTATTACAATGATGTACAAAGGTCCTACTATTGATCTAAATAAAAAAACTAATGAATTTTCAATTATGTGGTGCCAACTACCAGTCACCGTTACTAAGGCAGTTACCGAGTCGGTTGAACCGCCGTATATTTAGTGCACTAATTAATGGGAATCATTAATTATTTTTTCAAATAATTTGGAAATAATTTGAGGAAATGTAGAGTGTAGGTTTCATAATTTGAGATCTCGTTAATTAATTATTCATTTTTTTAAATTAAAGCGTCTAGTTAGCGAAAATTTCTTATTTTTTTTTTTCTAAATTGTGAATTACATAGAATCATTTGGGAAATCGATTTCTGTGCATTTCACAATTTGGGGAATTGATAAAGAGCTGATAATTAATAAATTAAAAAATGAAATCAATTTTTAGCCCTGCGCATGCCCGCATGCATACCCATTCCATCCTTCGTCATCTGGCGCACTAATTAATGGAAATCATTAATTATTCTATGAAATAATTAAGAAATAATTGGGTAAAATGTAGGGAGTAAGTTTCATAATGTGGGGAGCTCTCGTTAATTAATTATTCATTTTTTTAAATTAAAGCGTCTAGTTAGCGAAAATTTCTTATTTTTTATTTTTCTAAATTAGGAATTACGTAGAATAATTTGGGGAATTGATAAAGAGTTGATAATTAAGAAATTAGATCATTACATCAATTTCCAGCCCTGCGCACGCGCGCGTTCACACCCGTTCCTTCCTTCATTATCGACACTCGTTTAAAAAAAGTTGAATATTATTCATAGAAAACTTGTAAACTAATTTTATAGGGGATAAATCCAGCAGCAACCGAATATGAATCGGAAAGCACACTTCGATTACTAAGTTGTCGAAATAGCGATAAATTGGTTTGTGATCTATTTCCAATTTTTATCATTTTTCCTGGTAAAAACATTGTAGAGAAATGAAATGTAGGGCGAAATTTCATTTAAATAAAATACAGACGACGTAATTTCTTAAAGAGAATACTAGTCAATTAGAGTGGAAATGATTCTTCCATTTCTCTGTTTTTTCTGGCCAAAAATCCAAAATAATGTGATTTGTCAAATGAAACAAAAACAGTAAGGGTTGAGAGAAAACAATAGGAAACTGAATGAAACATAAATTTTTCGTTTCATTCGTTAATCATTAACTTGTTCGATTATTTGGAAAATTTAATTTTCGAAATAAAATTAAAAAGTAATATGATATAATATAATAATATACGAAATTTGAAATTTGAAAAGGTTTTTTCTTGCATCGGTGAAATATAAATGGACCACAATGATCTTTTTATGATAATAACACAGCATGTAAATTACTGACAAAGAAGTTTGAAGTTCAAAGAAATAGGAAAAAATTGAGTGGAAATCAATATGAATAAGTGCATTATTTGATTGTCGAATTTTCAAATACTTAAACCTTTTCCGTTTCCCCAGAAATCGTTTTTTTTCTTCCTGTCAATTTTCAATTTTCTATTCTTCAAAACAATTTTTCATTTTCCAAATTTCTTTAAATTTCCCCAAATTATTTCCAAATTATTTCATAACTTAATTAATGATTCCCATTGATTAGTGCGCCAAGTATACGGCAGTGTCGGTTGACGGCTAGACACCCCAGAATTGCGTGTGGCGTCCTCCCTCTCTTGGGGTGCAGTACTACGATGCCGTTGGGGTCACCCAAACCCCCGGAACTGACCCTCTACTTTAATCAATCCTCTTTGGTTTCACTCAAGAATTAGAGATTGTGTGAGATCCAACATATATACACACGAACTTACGCTTAGTAATTCCTAGGCGTGTACTTTTGTGTAAATTAGTAATTATTGACTCAGAGAGAGCTGGTGAAACGTCATTGTTACAATCATAAAAGTGCATACTTAAAATGTCGAGAATTGATGATAAGAAGGATATGGGCACAGGCTTTCGTAAAATTGATGTGGACGAGTTCAGCGAAAATAATTTTAGAGAGGAAGAGGCAGATGGGGGGGCCACAGGACCTACCGGACCCGATGAGAACGAAATTTTGTCACTACTCAGCCAATATCCTTTTTTAGCAATTAATTTTGATCTGCCATAAATATTTATTGGTGTTACTGCATGTAGAGTCTATCGACTTTCCCTTGTCCAAAAGTATTGCCTTTATCAATTTACACAGGAAAGAATGCCGAAGCTTTGATTTATGCTCTCAAATCGGCTCCACTCGACTGTAAAAACCAGCAAGTGAAGGTAAACAATTCTGAAAATTATTTGCTTCTCTTTAAAATTTTTATCAATTCACTCGAGCCGTAATTTGTGTTAAGGTAGATTTGAAACGAAATTTAGAACAATAAACTGAAATGGAACTAAAGGAAAGAACGTTTGCAGGATTCGGATTTAATGTGAAAGAGCCCTTGTTACCGCATGAAAGCTTTTTATATATGAGATTAATTTTGAGAGTTAATGTTCATGAACTGTTGAATAATTATCAAAAATATAATTTTTTTATTTCTTCAAACAGTATATATAGAGACGTGTGCTTATTCCGCCTGTCTAGAATGGATTCGTAAGTTGCTATTGACTTAAAGGCGTAGGAAAAGCGTAATTTTTTTGGATGAACATTAAGGCTTTGATCAATTAAGGATGTTTAAATGTTTAATTGCTCAACTGAGCAACCGTGTAGGAAATTTCAATTTAAAAAATTCAAATAAATCATCTACGATAGAAATAATGTTTTGTATTAATTTACAAGCATTATGGCATACTTTTCGGTTCAAATCATGAAGAAATATGGAAAATGTTTATAAGCATTGACGTATGACAGACTACTGTGTTAACACTTTTTGATCATACGACAACGCATTTAGCAAGGTGCTCCGCCATCACTGTTTCATCGTCATCTACCTTGCCGACACTGCTCAGCCGTCAGAGCAACGTTGACAATATTTTAGAATCGTAATGGCGGCTACTTTTTTTCAGGTCTTTTCAAAAATCAATCACAAATTTCTCGCATATTGTATCGGATACGCACGATCTCCATCTGCCGGTGGATCAATTTTTTCCTCTTTAAATTACACGGGTTTTCAGTCAATTTTGTGCGTTATTTTTATGCGGGTTTCATGAAGGCGAAAAAAATATAGACTATGGAGGGAGTGCATCGGAAATAGGGTTACTTTGTATAGAATTTTTCATACTTACGTCAATTGATATCAACCATTGAATAATTCATCTTTTCCAAATAATTGATCATTTTGGAACTCAATATTCGAAGACACGTGAAAAAGTTTTAATTAAACAATGTTTCTCTGTGAAAAATACACAAATTTAGTAGCAGACTAAATTTTTCAAGCATTATTTATTTGAAACTTTCTCGCGTATCCTTCATTACTGTGTCCCCAAATTATCAATTATTGGAAAAACATTGAGTATTCGATGGTTGGTGTCAATTGACATAGGTAAAAATTCTACACCAAGTAACTGTATTCCCGATGCACATCCCCCAGAGTTCATATTTTTATCGCCTCCATGAAGCACGCAAAAAAATAACGCACAAAATTGATCGAAAACCCGTGTTATTTAAATGAAAAAAAACAGTTTCACTGGCACGCTTTCCCATTGAGCTACGACATGGAAACTTCGAGAAAATTTTTAAATACACTATTATAGTATTACTCTATATGTTACCTTATTCTTCATCTATTTACTATTTGTGAATAGGATCAGGCAAGAAATGTGACACAAAAAATCCTACTGAGCATAAAATCCAATCAAATGGACGACATCTTGGCGCAACTGGATAGAGACTTAATGGATGTTTTGATGAAATACATCTATCGTGGATTTGAAATACCCTCAAAAGACAGCAGTTCCCATTTACTTACCTGGCACGAAAAAGTATACAATATTAATGGAATTGGAAGTATCGTCAGAGTATTAACTGACAGTAAACGAGCTTAACGTAGTAGAGAGCGTCATACTAATGATTGTTATAATAAAAAATATTACAATTTACTATATATAAATGTTTTTGTGTGAAAATACGGACGTCCCTCAGAACTTTAACCAACATTACTTCTTTTTTATTATGATGCAGATATAATATACATAAGTTTCAACAATGAGTAGAGTAAGGTAGTAACATGATGACATGATAATGTAAAGTACAAAAGAAATATTTTAACTTGCCCTGAATAGTTAAGGCAAAAGTTAGATGAAATAATTTTCCACAAGACAAACAGTTTGTTATCTTTTCTCAGGACAAGAACTTTAATGACTCAGTAGTAGAGTAGTAGAACGAAATAATTTAATTTTTTGCTTACTTCCTCCTACATCCTCGACAATCCCGTTCTTTCTCAAATATGAAAATATTCCATAATACAAATTCTCTAACTTTATCCAGTAGTTAGGGATAGTTACATTGTATAAAAATACACAAGTCAAATGGAACAGGTTCAAAATGTTTCTACAAAATTTGACGAATATGTTCTATTCAGGCAAGCTTGAAATGAATATCTAAAAAAATTCGCAACACAAGTTCCTTTTATTTGAATTTTGATAGTTCGGAATGTCGTATTTTGGAGCAGAATAAATGAAGAGCTAGTGCCACATATTTATCAATAAGTAATCAAAATAATTAATATTTTGCTGTTGTGAAATATCCAGGCTAGGAGGAAATATTAAAAATAAAGTTATTTAACAGCCTCAAATACCGTGCTCTTATCTGCTGCGCTTCGAGAAAAAGAACTACTTATCAAGATTTCCACGTAAAGTTCAATTAACGTATTTCATTCGGGCATTTATTGAATTGATGATTATAAAAAAAAAATATTACTTTACTCGCATTTATTCTTGACGGTAATCATGATCATGTTGGTTTGTCGAATGAGGAAGAGAGCACTGATGAAGACTGCTTTCGCTCTATAAATAATTAAATATGCCTGTATTGGTTAATAATCGAGTAATTCTTAATTTACCAATAATTTTTCATAGTACATTGTGTGTCTAGGGAGTAAAGTATTTTCTGACGAAATGTGAGTTGTCGGCTTATCTCGCCTCCGCCTTGGGTTATAATCACATGAATCAGAAAGTACTCTAATTCCGCGTGGCACACGATATCTTGTTCCTTAGGGGAATAAAATTATTTATACATACAGAGTTAGCACTAAATATGAAAAAATCTTCAAAACTAACAAACGAAATTTCTTGAATGATTTATAATATTATATTAATATTATTAATACTTCAGCAAGTAATAAATTGTAATTTTAATGATAAACTACGACATCAACACTTACTGTCCTTCTTTGAAATACTCCTTCAGCGTATTACTAAATCGTTTACTGTACTTGACAAACTCTCGTTTTCTTTGATCCAGCGCCTGTTTTCCTGCAATACCTGGTATAAATGTCGTTACTTCGTTCACTGCGTCCAACAGTTTTTTGATAGCACTTGCGATCTCCCTGGAATAATCAAGTAATCATTAGAGAAGATAACACTATGGTTAAGCATATTCCTAAGTTTACCCACTTTATAGTCTCTAAAAAAGTTTTACGATCGGTTATTTCATCTGGAATCCTGCTCAATATCCGCTTCAGTGCAGTCGATTTACGATTTAGCTCCTGGAACGCATCTTCCGATCTTCCTGAACGATATTCAGCAACTAGAACATCAGTTTCAAAAATGCATCATTTGATAAGAGCGCTCGAATAAATTTCAGCACATGATATTAGGGTCGCATTAACTCTTCGCATGGATCTATCGAACGTAATCTTCTGTTTCAATGTTATTTCTCCACTGGATTGAGTGACAGCTATGGTAAGCTGCGTATTTTTTATTATTTTTTTGTAAGCTTGGTAGATCCTTGTTCATCAACATCGTGATTGAGAGCCCTTCAATCATTTTTCTTCTTCTTTCCCATTATCTTTTTATAACTATCCGAGTGCTTCCCGCAACACAAATTTGATTACAAGTTTTAATATATTTCATGCTAACAAGATAAAATTTAAACAAAAAATTGCATTCGACAGATGGTCGATCCCCGCCTTAACCGAACATAAACTCACATCGTAAAAATTCAGGGAATTGAAAATTCGAAAGAAAAAATCGTATAGCATCCACCCGCGATTGGAATCAGAGTTCCCCAATTAGTTATTTATAACCTGAATGGAATTTGTTTTTACGATATTGAACGACCATTATTCCTCAACTGGATCTATTTTATAATTTCATCGGGAAATACCTAACACACTTCCCTTTATAGGTGAATAATATGCACTTATAGATACCTTCACAGTCTGATGCAGCACCCTGAAGACGTAAAATACTAGCATTCATATCAAGACTCAAGTCAGCTCTTCTCACAATTCCCAGGATCAAGTCATAAGTAAGTCCTGGATGAGTGTTTTCAGCCTTAGATAGAGCTGACTTGAGTGTTTGTGCAGCTACAACATTCTGGCCTTCCAACTGAAAGAAATGGGAAATGATGAAAACATTCAGTGAGTTTAATGAATTAAACAACTCATCCATCATTCATTGAGGGATTCTATTCACCTTCGAAAGTATTGGTCGTAGTATCACAGGGAGGGCAAGTGAAGTAACTGGAGTTTCATCTCCCATTGTCATCCTTTATACGTATTTTCGTACCACAAGCGATCCAATAAACTGTAGATATCTTCTCTGTGATATGATTAATAGGACCACCAAAAATACAATGCCAAGGCGTTACCAATGCCTTCAGTGAATCTAAATAATCTACTTGAATGATCTTCTTCGATTGATCAATTATTTAGTAGATTATCGTTGTATTTTCCGATGACTGGTGCACGTCTTATCCTGACAGCTGGCAATAGAAAATTGAAATAACGATAAGATGGGGTTAAGATTCGTGCTATAGTTTCGCTGGTTTCGTCACCACCGTATACTTGGCGAACAAATTACATATTTTGAAGAAACAAGGAATCGAATAATTAGGAAATGCTTTGGAAAAATTTAGAAAATCATTTTCATAATTTGGAAACAGACACTTTATTAGTTATTAATAAAAAACTCGTCGACCTATTTTAACCATAGTTGGTGAACATTGACTCAAATTTCAAAAAACCATCTCAATCGATGGAAAGTAATATGGAAAATATAGTAAAAACTCTATTATTATTTGGAAACTAATTTTTAGACCGACAATCAATCGGTTCCCATCTCAATCGATGGGAAATAATCTAGAAACATTAGAAATCAATTGAGGTGGTTTTTATTAAATTTGAATCAATGTTCACCATCTATACGGTCGAACAGTTTTTTATTAATAACTAATAAACTAAATTTGTCCAAATGATTTCCTAATCATTCGATTGTTTGTTTTTAAAAATATATAATTTGTTCGCCAAGTATACGGTGGTGGATTCACGCGACATTATCAAGCAGAATTTATAAGTGCTGCCCACTACAGTTTAGATGGCGCCACCAAAGACCAAATGTACATTTATTTTTCATGAAAACCACGTTTTAACCCAATTTCATATGTCGTGTGGGTCGTGTGCCAGCAATGGACTGGGGCTTTGAGAAAGTATAAGAGAGCTGGAACGACGCAGCAGTAGTTCGGCTTACGTGGGTCCAACACCGATTGTACGTGATTAATTGGTATTGTTCTTGTCACGAGTGATTGACAATACGAATTATCCGACAATGGCCCTTAGCCAAACAAGTGTGGTGAGTACACTGACAATGAATTATTAATGGATTTTATGCAGGTCTTCTGCCCTCCCTCATCGAACCTTAATCAACGATATTTCAACGTATTGAAAGAAAAATATGACACTCATCAATGATACCGAATCATAGTTACTTTTTAATACAAAAACTCGAAGGAAAAAAAGCAGTGTTATCTCTCTGCGAATATGGTTAATAGAGAAACAACCTCACTTCGCACATTAACAATATCTAGACCAACATTCTTAATCATGTATGAGTTTGACCGGATGATTATCTTATGTTACGTGAATCATTGTTCTTCATTTACCTTTTAAATTATTGTTTTTTTCTGGTAATTACTTGTCCCACTATTTTTTTTAGAGTACGGCTTATCCTCATTACGATGATCAGAATGCTAGTAAAGAATTATTAATTTGTATAGCAGGATTTAATTTATTGGTCATGTTGGTTTGGACGCGACGTAGGCATAAGAAGGAATCTGGTTGAAGATAGGCTAAAGTTAATTGCCTAGAGCAAGACAATGCATATTTGGCCAACAGTGTTATAGTATAATTTGCATGATTTGGATTATTTCATAAGCAGTTAACGGTTGACTTTTCTTTAGTAAAATGTCGAGACGATGACAAAAGACTTTTTTATCGGGCGATCTGCGAATGAGTCTTTTGAAGATTTAATCTGTTTTTTTTCAGTTGAAACTCTATAATACTGTGATAGAGGATGTCATTGCGGGAGTCAGAGATTCATTTTTAGACGAAGGAGTTGATGAACAGGTTCTTTTAGAGCTCAAACAAGTATGGGAGCAGAAGCTAATGCAAACTAAAGCTGTGGAAGTAAATGCAGAGCCTCCAGAACCACAACCACCTCAGATGCCTACATCTAAGAATACTACTGCTAGTAAAGGTGTTTGAATATACTGTCTACCTTTAAAAAAATTTATGCCTAGTAATTTACTACGATATATATGACACTATTTCACAACACTGGATAGATTTTTTTTTGTGCGTCTCATTAACAATATATAGTACGTCTACCATTGGTATTTATAATGATCATCATGAGAATTTCACTGATTCTTTCGTGAGGAAGTAACTTTTATAATAATTCCTTGTGAGGTGGTTTATTCTATGAATCATAAGTACTTGGATAAGTATATAAGGTTCCACAAATAGTTCAATTGCCTCCACCGACTTCATGAATTTTTTCATCCCATTCAGTAGTATTTGAGCTTTTCAACTATTTTTTATTTTGATTCATAATCTCTCCCATTGCATTAATTTTTATATAATATTTTCCTTCTCGTATCATTCGGAATTGACAATTCCTTGGATTTTAATAAAATACAGAATTTCCTCCCGATATGACTGTCCAATGATATTCAAACATCTCACATAAGTCTTTTTACGCTTTCCATCTTCAGTAACGGAATCGAATGGAAAAAATCGCCTTTCGCAGGCTCTGTGTTTGGAATTTTGTTAAAGCCACCACGCCGTGGAAAACATCACTCTTCCCCACATGCTTGCCACCCTCGCCTTCAGCTCAGATGCCAATCTTGCATGTGGGGAGGGATGATCGGTTTTCCACGGTTAGGTCCGGAAATAACTCATTTACTATTCTCGATGCCAATCGTCACTCCTGTTTAGAGTAGCATTTATTCATCTATCTTCAAACTCTCCAGTAACATTTTATTCCGTTCTATAACTAACAAGATTATCCTCATCTGCAATTATTAATTCATATTATCAGTCAAACCTTAAGTTACTGTGATTAAAAGCATCATCATGCCATGACGTCGTCATGCCACCATTGAGAAACTTCGTTAAGGCCCGCATGGACTATCCATCAAATGTGATATTTTGTTTAAATTCGATCTTGTTAGCTTAAAATCTATTAAAATTTATTTAATTTTCTCCCTATAATCAATGAAAAAGGGGGAACATACATGTCGATGGCAGTAGATCTATTCAATACTTAATCATTACATTTAATTGTCCAGCTGCCAATATTGGCAATCACTTCGCACAACAGCAAACGTCATCAGCAGCTGCAGCGGCGAGTCAAGCACAATCCCAACAGCATCAGCAAGTATCCGCTCCCGGGCCACAAGCAATCCGTGCAGCTTTACCTCAACATCAAAATGTCCAACAAACTCAGCAGCAGGCTCCAGCAGCCCAGCAGGTACTATCAGCACCAGCTGCGTTGTTTGATCGTCCAGTTCCAATTCAAATAACCCTACCTGGCAATTCGGCAACTGGGGATGGCAGGCCTAAGGTCCTGACGATCCAGGTACCTGCTTCGGCTATTCAAGGAAATCAGTTGCAAACGATTTTGACTGGGCCTGTTATTACTGCGGCAATGGGCTTTCCAATGGATGTTGCGTCGCGATTGCTACAGCAACACGTTGATAAAACTCTCCAAGGACAGGCATCTCTCACCCCTATGGAGATTAATCAGCCACTTCAAGTTATTCAAGGCACAGCTACTATGCAGCTGCCTGTGCAGAATCAGGTGCGTGTCAATTTTTAATTATGCTTTATTTGCGTTCGTTAAATATTAATTATCATAGATGAACATATATTTCCAAATATATGTTTGATGTGATATGAATATGTTGAAAGGCGTGTTTCTATCGGCTATTAGGTCAACTCGTCAACATTGCCCAGTCTTTATTTATTATTAATGAACTCACAAAATGTTAGTTTGGTCGGCTAAAATCCGCACCCTCAAAGTTATACATCAAAATTGCCGGACCTGCAAACAGGTTTTCGATCACACATCGTGAAGATAGATTAAGTATTGTGAACATTCATTCTAGGTTATAGTAGGGTAATGTAAATTGCAAAAAAAAAAATCACGAAAATCAATAAAAATGATGTATCGGCAAAATCGATTCATTTTTTGAACAGCTTACTCGTTTTCGGCTCAACCAGAAAACCTCACACTAAATAAAAATTGCCATTCGCCAAACAGTTCGTTAACATGCCATGCTCTCAAGCTTCTGTGAAACCGCACGTATTGAAATGTGAAGTTACATCCTGGAAGAACAGCTACATTCCGAATTTTACAAATTGTGAAGCATTTTGATGCTCTTAGTATATTGTTACTGGAAAATAAGTGACAGCTCTTCTCTATAAACTCCGCTGTGCATAAATTGCATGTGCAACAGGCGGATCACCCTCACATCGAATCTTTACAGGTTTGCTAAGCGCCATTTACCAACCTAGGACAGTTCCAAGTAGGTTGATCGAGCCTCGTAACATAAACTAGCGTATTTTTTTTTCTGATAAATTTAATCATGATCCGTGCCTTCGACTCACTTGGTAACCATAGAATTTTGGAGGTAGTTGGTACTCACTAACCTCACCTCCGGTTCGAGAGATATCTGTATACGTACGTGGGTAAAGGCTTTTTAGCCCACCTCATTGCAAAGAAATTAAATAATAATCATAATTTTTAATTGAATTAAAAATAAAGGAACTCTACCCCTAAGCTTAGGGCTTAGTGTACATTTTCGCACGTAGGTAGGAATTCATTATTTTCCTTTTGAAGATTTGAAAGATGATATGAACTCCCATGATCACTATGTAGTAGTACTCAAATATGAAATTAATTATTGACATTTAAGAATCAGGGAAATATTGCTCAGCTGGATGGACCTCATGTAGATACTTCTGATGACGACGATGAAGATGAGGAAGAGGATAATGATGACGATGACGATCTAGATGACGACAAGGATGCAGAGGAAGATGATGACGCCGGTGCGCGTGAAGAGGTAAGTCAATTGCCCTCATTTTCTACAGACTTATTTAGTCGATGTAGCTTCTGCCTTCAATAATCAATCAATTTGTTTTCTCCTTCAATATTTTTAGGAGCCTCTGAATTCAGAGGACGACGTCACAGACGACGATCCGACAGACCTATTTGACACAGACAACGTAGTGGTGTGTCAGTTTGATAAGGTCAGTAGAGAGTTCTTAACAAAAAAAAAAGGATTATTTTCTAAAAAGGTTATTCTGAATGCTTTTTAGGTCTTTAACATTATAAATATAATTTTTGATTGCACTTTTAACCGATTTTTAAGTGATATTTTACAACTGAAATTCTTCTTCTTTTTTGCCTTCCTGTTTGCCGTTTACAAAATCAACAAAATATAAAATGATGAAATGGTCAAACTATTCCGGTATACTCAATTTCTTAGTAGAATAACTTTAGTTTCAGGCCCGGATGGAGTATCTGATTATCTCGTATAAATAGTTTTTTTTCTTGTTTTTTTTTTATTTGCAACTTTAGCGCACTCCTGCATGAAGTAGAGCTGTATCACATAAATGCATATAGGCTGGAAAAAAAGTAAGAAAAAAAAACCAAAAATATATAGTGCGCGCTTTTTTATTAAAATCTGAGGATAATTGTGCAAAAGCACAAGTTGGAAATATCTGATTTGATGGAGCAGCGGAGAGACGGGGGGCAACAAAAGAAAATATCTTCCTATACGGTTGGTGGGGCATTATTTTACAAATTCGTTCTCTGAAAAATTATTAAATATTTTTCAGATTTTTTATTTATAATTTCCCTACCTGATCGTTGACAAATGTCTCCGAATTAGGTATAGAAAAATTGAGGTGGCGATCAGCTGTCGATTTATCGGGCGAGATAAGGGGGCTACAAGAAGTAGGATGAACGTTGCAATTTAATTTTGATTTTCAGATGTTTTAAAAAAAATTATTTCGGTATGCGTTCACCCCACTTCTATCCCCCCTCATATCGTCCGCTAAATTGACAGCTGATCCACACCTCGATTTTTCGCTATCTAATTCGGAGACATCTGCCAATTATCAGGTAACGAAATTATGGTTGAAAAAATCTAAAAAATAATTAAACATTGTTCAGAGAAGAAAATGTTATACATCCTCCCATTTCAATAAAAAAGCACGGACTCTATAATTTTTCTTTTTACTTCTTTTTCAGCTTACATGCATTTATGTGATACAGCTCTGCTCCATACAGAACTGCACCAAAGTTTCAGATAAAAAAAAACTATCTATATGAGTTATTTAGATACACCAACCGGGTCTTCAGCTAACAAGATAGAATTTAAACAAAAGGTAGCGTTCGACAGATACTCCATCCGGGCCTTAAATAAAAAAATGATTTAGAGAAAATTTTCCTGGGGGTAAAAATTACGAGTCGGATGAGAATTTATTATCAACTTATATGTAGAAGAAAATAGTGACCATGTTATTTTGATCACAAGTGGTAAAAAAATACTACACGCAACACACTGTAAATATTAAAAAAATGTCTCCAGGACTGACGTTTAGAGGAGTTTTACCCAGAGGTAAAACTCAAATAATGTTTATTAGCTACTGTTTGATTGATATTTTCTGACTTTGTATCCGTCTCCGTCAGTTCCTCCTTAATTAGCTCTGCGTCGAGCTCACGGGGCATTTGTTCACTCGGAGGAGATTCGTATAGGATTTGGGAGTATTATCTGTTTAATTAATCACTCGTAAAATGATTGTATATTAACTGAAAGGATTTAAATACGCGACGATGGTATATAATTGGGTCCGTATACGTCTTACTAAAGAAGTCGAGACTTGGATACTTCGTCTTTCTTGTATGGCAAAAGGCCTTGGAGCTCCGAGGTATACTCTGGTCAACTCCCGATCGTACTCTGTCTCTCCAGAGTCCTCATGATTTCTTCCATGCTCTCTCCAAGTCTCTACGGGCTGAGTTAAGCAGTCTCACTGTTAGTTTCCATTGTTATTTTCTTGGTATAACTGATTTCAAGTCAGTTAAGCAACTCAACAGACCTAGAACTGAACTTCTATCTGACCGTGGGACTGCTGATGTCATGTCTGGATGACAGGTGTCTTCCTATGTTTATTCCAGGCTTTTTAAATCGTACTTTAAAAGAAACTTCACTTTATAAGACACGGTTAGAATAAGTCCAACGGATGTCAATTGAGGATTTAAGAAACCAGCTGTTATTGCTGAATGCGTAAGTTACATCCTCGATTTTATTTTTAAACTATTTTGTACAAAAGATAAAAAAATTGAGGAGAGTTTTTCCCATGTATTTTCCATTAAACTGAAAAAATCTGCAACTGAAAATTACTAACAAAAACCAATTTTCTAATAATCTAGAATTTTAATATATATTTTTTTTAAGAATAAGTAAATTCTTCCGATGACAGAACAATTTCTACTATCTTTTTCTACGGTTCATAATTGAGAAATAGGTTGTAAAACTATAGATTGAACAAAAGTGTCGAAGAACAATTTTGTTTCAATTGTCTATCAACCAAATATGTCCCCACATATCTGTTTAACCGAAGAGTTTTCAAAATTATTTACCAAATCGTGATACGGTTTCATTAAAAGAAAATATTAATTTTCTTTTCAGATAACAAGAAGTAGGAATAAATGGAAATTCTATCTTAAAGATGGGATAATGAGTTTGAGCGGTAAGGATTATGTGTTCCAAAAAGCCAACGGCGACGCAGAGTGGTGAAATCATTCTTTTAAATAATTTTAATTGATTAAGGAAATTATATAATTAAAATATATGTGAAAATGGTCGCCTCCGATCACCTTGTTTGTTGTCAACAAAATGGTCTAATTCGTGCATATCGAGTGAACCTTGACTTATATATTTCAAAAGCAAAATGAGAAACAAAATTGAAAGTTAAAAAATGTTTATTTAAAAATACAAAGATTAAACGAAACATCTTCACGTAAAAACCACAAATCATTAGATTGAAATGTTTATGAAAGTGTGTTCTTCATTTATTTGTAGGACAAAATGGAAAAAAAGAATTAGAGGGCCGATTCTAGGGGTGACTTGTTCCTGTCTTGGGAAATCAGCTCTCGCATTTTTTTCATTTCATGCGCTTTACTCCTATTAAATGTTGAAAGTAATTTTTTCATTTCTCTTATTAGCTAATTTTTTATTTCATGAAAAATACACATTTAGATTGCCTGTTAGGAGGAATCGTCTTTTCAATCGATGTCTTTTCATTCCGCTTGGATTATTTTGAGCGTAGAAAGATTGTATGTATGAATGGAGAACACAAAAATATCAAATAAAAAACGTAACTGACTGACTGTTTTTGATAAATTGGAACATTGCTGTGGAGTAGTGAAACGCGACGAGTAAAATTGAAAGGTTTTGCATTGATTGTGCATACTAATTCGGTATGTAAGTTATTCATGAGTTCAGAGGTGACTGCTAGAAGACTTTCGGTTGATTGTTACAATTTTGGGTGGTAATAAAGACTTTCAAATTTATTGACTCTCCCATAAAACTTTCATCGTTTCGCATAGTTTACGGGATTTTTTTGTAACTTGGCACACTTTTACTTTCGCAAGAAGGCTTGAAATCACAATTACAATTGATTTCCCAAGTGTACACGTATTCTGCGCCTTACTTTTGGCATTTAGATCTAGGAAAACGGATATCAGTCTTTTATGTTAGAAGAATGCAAGTACTACATTTCCTATTTGACAAGGATTTCAAAATAATCTAATATTTTTTGAAAATCATGTGATGTGTGAAATATGTCAAATTCCAAAGAATTAAAAATCCTTAGCTTTGGCAAGGGATTTTCGCGTGGAACATGGCATTCTCATTTCTATGCACGCCCTTTACGGATCTTTTCTTAATTAAGTGGAACAATTGATTGAAATTCAAAAAGCGAAAATAATTAGTTTAGTTTTACTCAAGAACTACTTTACGGCATTGAATACATCACTAATTGGTCGAAATAACAATACTAAGAATAGGTTTAAAAAAAAGGCTTACACTTTCTTCAGGGACTGGGCATTTTATATTCACTGATAAAATATTCGTAATGAATGAAACTCATACTTGTGTAACTTGCTCATTTTTGTTGCGATCATTTAAAAAGCTAGGAGACAATGTAATGTTATTTCCTAAAATCACTGGATTGTTTTATGTTTAAAATCCGTTGAACCTATTTTCGAAATCAATTACTTTACACCGTAATTCATCCGAGCTCGTCCACTTCCACATATTGCGAAATTGTATGTAATTGCACATTTTGAATTCAAAATCAGAAAAAAATCTACGGCCAAATATCTATGTAAGCAGCAGGATTATTCGTGCCTAAAGTTCATTAATTACTGTAAATATTTTTTTTAATACGGCAAAAATCCTCAAACCAAAAAAAAAGAAAAAGAAATTGCATAGTAATTCCATGAATTTGCTAAAGACTCAATTAAAAAACGCAAATTGTACGTCATTATGAGAGAGCTTTAAGAAATACACGTGTCTTATAATGTTATTCTAAAAATAACTAGTTTCAAACAATGTTTATCAATTATTTATCATCAATTACCTAATAAGAATCCAACCCTCCTCAATGAAATAATTATCCTAAATCAAAAGAATTGTTTATGTTGGTTTTCAAATGCCGAACTCAATGTTTCCTCAATAATATTTTTTATAATGAATTTATCCATTACCGGATCGCACTAGCGCCAGAAATGATTTCATTAAGTTCTGCAGTAATAGCAGCCTGTCTCGTCCTATTGAATTTCAGTTGCAATTTTTTTATCATCTCGGAAGCGTTTTTAGTAGCATTGTCCATTGCAGTCATGCGTGCTGCGTGCTCAGCCACTGATGATTCTTTCAGGACTAAGTATATGATCGTTGCAAACGTGAACTCGACCCAACAGTCCACAGTATTATCATCCAGACCATCGTAGAGAACGAATTTTGGGGCTGATATAATTGACAGACGGTCGAAAAGGTCGATGGTGGAGACGATGGAGACATTTGGGTTGATAAATCTAATTAAGAAGCAGTAGGATAGTATTATCATTTTAGACAGAAATAATAACTTTCTGACCACGATAAGCAAAATATAGGACTCATAACCACGTGACCAAAACCTTCGTGTTTAGGTCGGGTGTAGTCTGCATTGGTGGATACGACTCCTTTATTTTTCACTCCTGATAGGCAATGTACCATTTTCTCATACTTGAAACCAAATCTATCAATCAAATACATCTTTCTCGTTCTAATTAGTAGATGGAAAGTGAATTGCTCTACCAAAGGGCCTATCGGGATGAGAACAACAGTTTTCGCGATGGCGGCTGCAAAGCCAAAATTTCCAAATTTGACTTTGCACCCTACCGCAAAACGTCGAATATATTATTTGGGGATTGATGGAAAATTTTTGGATATTTATGTTTACTTTCACGTTTCCTGTTATCACCTGTTATCGTGTTATCAAAAATTCTGTGAAGTTATTTCATTTCAAATGGATGTGTAAATGGTTATTGCAATCATCTTTTATAACGTTTTTTTGTTTTAACATTATTTCATGCGTTGCGATCATTTTCAACCTTTTTTTCTCCAGTTTTGTGATTTTTTTTAAAAGGTTAGGAAAAACCCTGGAAAAAGATCGCACCACTTTGAAACTTTGTGAGTCATTAAATAGTGACGAAACGAAAAAAAGTTATATTTTTCCCCGTCGATCTCATGCTAAGTATTACCAGAAAAATTTTTAAAAATGTGACTTAGCGGAAACGGTGTAGGAGGTGTGTAACAGGTATTCCTGCTGCCGAAAGCAAAATGGTATGTTACGGCGTACGAATTTTAGTACGTGATTTGTCGACTTCTATTTGTCAAACCATCGCCTTCTTCAAGATATTTCCACCATCCCTAAATATTAAAACGTTTAGTTTAACCAACTTGTTGTAATAAACTTGTATTTGTGAAAATGTGTGATCCTCCAAGGATTTAAAAATTCTCTGGGCTATTCGACATGCATCAATGAACGTCGACGGTTTCTTTCCGATTTCCGAGGCAGTCCAAAGCATTTTTTTGGCATAAAAACGGGCTAAAATGACTCTTGACTTCTCTCCGATACAAATTAAATTTATCGGAGCACTTGTAGTCAGCTTCAAGGTCTCGACTGACATGTGAACAGCCTTTGCAATACCCGAATGAATAGCTCCGCAAAGCCCTCGGTCTCCACTTACAGCTAGGACTAACCTGGAGTGGTAGTAGTAATCAATGCTTAATATCTATGGCTGTTTGAAATTGGCATCTGCAGTTTATGGCCGTCACCAACCTGGATTTTGGTTGAAGGTCTACTTTGAGACCTGCAGCCTCAAAAAAGTACTGAGGACTAGTGCCAAGAGTTCTGGCACATGATAGGTCACGTTCCGCTTTTACATACTTCGCTGCTGATACTAATCTCATCGTTCTGGAGATTTTTTTCGTGTTCTCCACGGATTTTATACGATTCTTTATGACTTTTAATGAAGACATGCCACGTCACGCAGTAAGAATCTTGAATCGCTCAGAGATTCATTTTTGTTTTAACGGGTCGATGCTTAAATTTTAAGCACTCTTTTTATAGTTGTAGAATAGACCACCAGCGTTCCTTTATACAGGAAAAAACCTTAATTTGCGAACATATTTTGGAGTTTTATTTGTTCAAAATTGAAATTTAACGCATGGTGACTATAAAAGCTGGATGCTCCCACCTTCAATCCAATAAATCGTAGTTTTGAAGCGTTTTCTTGTACAGACTTTTTAGTTTTTTCGGACATTGAGAAACATCAGTTTCCGAACAAATAATTGAAAAAAATCGAAAGTACTTGAAGAACTTCCGATTCGTATAGCGGCCATATCACATGGTTTGAATCAGTGCGTTCCTGGCATTTGGCAACATTTCGCTTAAGGTTGTTGTCGCGTAGAATTTTTTTTCGACAGTTTTCGTTAACAATTTTATGGTGAATAGTTTGAAAAATTAGCAACAAAATGAGCCTTTTCCGTTTGCAATTGACCGTTTTGAACTTGAGATATAAATTTTTGAAATTCGAGTGATTTAACACGTGTT